TGATGCGTATCCGCGATGGATGAAAACATCAATTTAACAGACTCAAAAGATTTGTTATACATAGATGGCCGAGATTCCTGCAAACTTGCTGCTAAAGAAGCTTGGGCCGAACTACTTTCTACCAGGGATTGTGACCTGCTGGGGCCTGATCACGACCCTCCAAGGCTTTGTCAGGAGTTACTCCGGCTTGATTGCCGCCCGGTCAGAACCCCATTCCAGCCTTCTGTTTTTCTCCCCCCCCCCCCCCCTTTTTCTTACAATTCACTTGAGAAACTCATTGGTCATGATGTGAAAAATTGGTCTATAGTTTTTTTCTTGGTTTGGTTGAAGGTCCGTAACATGAGTTTTGTTATTTCTCTCATTGCGATCGGAATCCTTTCTGATTGAATCCATCTTTTTCGACTCAGGTGGGATGTTTCCTGTGAGTAATGAGACCAAAGAAGATCACCGTTATGAGCAGCGCTAAATCAGAAGAAAATCAACCCCAGGCGATAGTGTTATACCTTTCATTCTTCTATACGAGGTCAGTACTCCTTCCTCCTCATGATTCAAGACAACAGAGCAATAGTTGAAGGTGTTGTGAAGTTGACATCTTGAATCACGCCAGACGCGAGTTGCAGCTCCGGATCGCCCTGTTTTTCTCTTCCGCGTCCTTGTCTGGCGCATTCTCTGGTTTACTTGCATACGGCATCATACGGTTAGATGGTAGGGGAGACCTGGCGGGATGGTCTTGGATTTTCATCGTGAGTTTCATTTTTCACTTTTTTGTTTCTCTTTGGCAAAAAAGGCTTTCAATTTTTCTAATGGACGCAACTGATTCTGCTCTGTCTGGTTGGTACTGGACAACAGATCGAAGGACTATTCACGTTCTTCTGGGGTTTGATCTCCTTCTTTATCTTCCCGGCCTCCATCGAGAGCAGCAAATACTTGAACCCGAGTGAGAAGGCGTAAGCAATACAAGAATAACAGGGCCCTTTGAGTTGACAATCATCAAGCTGGAGATTGACTATATCGAACATCCTGCACAAAGTATATTGAAAGCACGGCTGCTCAGGGACCGTCCGATGGCAGACGATTCACTCGATTGCTTCTCGTTCGCCGAGGTTCTCGCTGCAATAAAAAGCCCTCACGTCTTGATAAACTTCGTCTCACTCTTCATGTCCGGGACAGTACTATACAGTCAGGCATACTTTCAACCTACCAGTCAGTCATCTCCCTGAAAGTTAACTCGAACCCCCTTTTGAACAGCAAGTTCCCTAAATCTGATCATGCTTTCAAATTTTATCCCCTCTAATGCACGAAAAAAAAAAATCGGAATTGGGGGATTTTTTTTAAAAAAATACCAGTTGTCAACAGTGTCAGTATGCCGATTCGATTCTGCGACCAAATGGAGTGTTGTTAATCACGGGTTTATATGCAGTTAGGATACTCGGCATCCCGCAGTCAATTGATGAGTGTTCCGCCTTTCGTGGCAGCGTTTGTTGGTAAGTGTTTTTTGTTTTTTCTTCCTGGAATCTAAATCAAATGATATATAGTGGACTGATGAGATGTATTGGGTTATTTGTAGTGATGCTTGCGACGGCGTACATCTCTGACAAATATTGCACCAGAGGGCTGGTAACGATCGGGTGTGCATTGACTGGGGTGAGTTGAAAGATCCTTCGAAAAAGCTCGCCAATTACATAAAAATAGAGAATTAGTAAAAAGGAAAGTGAAGCGCTTGATGAGGATGATGATGCTCATGCTTATAGAGATGTGGTGTCTGCAGATGATAGGTTTCATCTTATTTCATGTAGCCGACCAAGACCAGATGTCATTGAAGTACGGCTCATTGTTCATCTCGCTTTCTGGAGTGTACTCCACCATCCCTCCACTCAGCGCATGGCAATCCAACAACAGTGAATGTCATTACCGAAGGGGTTCCTCGATCGCACTCGGCTTCATAGCTAGTAATCTAGGAGGAATACTCAGTACTTGGGTTCAGTCTTTTCTTTTTTTTTTTTCGCCTGTTCTCTTTGTCTTACTAGGATTTCAGTTTATTGACGTTAATCCCTGTTTTGTTTTTTTCTGGTCCATGGTTTGACAGATCTTCCCTCAGTCAGAAAAGCCAGGGTATCGTACTGGGACGTTACTGAGTCTTGCCTTGTAAGTCACTTGTTTTTCTGGCGCTGTAACAAAGCCCTGGTCACAGAGCGTCGTCGCTCTTTTCTGATTTCATGGATCGATGTGATCCGCATAGTTGCGCCGGAATGATCGCGACGGTAAGCTGCAACTTGGTCTGGCTCAAGTCGGCGAACCGATCAAAGATTGTTAAAAGAGAAGAGCTACTCAAGGACTATCCTAACCATGACCAAAAGTCCCACCCCGAGAACAAGAGGATCCGTCAACGGGCCTGGGCCGATCTAGGCGATCGTCATCCCGATTTCAAATATACTTATTAACTACTTCTCCGGTGTTCTATTCATCAACCATTCTATAATTTGCCCACTTTGACCTGTTCCTTGCTTTAGGAAGTGGTTCAACAGTACCCTTTTCCTTCACTTCTTGTCCATTATCATCATATGTCTAATAGATTTTCAATTTTTTTTGTGACTGGATTTCTTTCATGACCTTTTCCCACCCAACTTAGACTGAATTATTGAGTCCTGCGCTGTAAAATGCATACTGGTGGTAGTGTGTATTGAGGTACCTGATGTGTTGTTCTACACTAGAGCTCTGAAAACCCAGAAAGATGGAACACACATATGCCACCAAGCTTATGTAGTGTACACTTGCTTAAGCCTGATGGCTGTCTGATAGGTCAGATGCCACATCCAAAGCTTTTGCAAGCTACGTACATATATACCTGTTACATAAACCAACAACATGTGTCCAAACCCCAAACCAGCAGTGAGTGGGACAGTTGGCTCTCTATCAACCCATACCCACTAGTGAACCAATTTTACTATGGGTTATAAGGATCATGGGTGGAGAGTGAAAGTCTCTATATTAACCCATGAAATCATGGGTAAATGATGACACCCTATTTTTTTCATGGGCTAATTGATACAATTTCTCTTTTAACTCACAGAAGGAATGGGTTAAGAGATGCTTCTTTAATTTTGAGCAGACTGCTTCCTTGGTTGAAATTTGATGTGTCTAGAGGTGAATTAAACAACCAGGGTTTGGCTAGTTTTATCAAGCCACTCACTCCCCTTGTTCTTGGGCAAGACTTCCCCCATTTCAGTTTAGCCATCAAACCCCCATCAATCTTTGTGTCTTGGGTTTCATTTCAGAAATTAACTGCTCTTCCAGTACATCAATATTTAAAAAATAGAGGGCTTTGGAATTTTTGCAATTGCTTGTGAATAGAGATGTCAGCAGGTACCCGGTACCTGTTTGTGGGTACCTGTTTTCCAAAGCAAGTACACGGAAACAGGTACTGGGTGCGGGTGCGGGTGTCAACATTTGCGGTAAAAACAGGTGCGGGTGCGGGTGCGGGTGCGGGTGTCAACATTTGCGGTAAAAAAAGGCAGGTACCCGGGTACCTGCCTTACACCCACCCTGGGAATGCTTCCCCTGAAGAATTTAATTTATCATTGGTGGTCCAACACTCCCTTTTTTGGGTGTGTTGGGCTGCACAAAGGTGTCAGCAACCCATGTAGGACACCAGCTGGTGTCTTATATGTGTTGCTGAACTAATCTGGTTGCTTTGTTGAGGCCGGAGGGTTCCCTCCAGCCTTTGAGATGGTGTACAGTCTTGATGACTGGAGGAATTCCTCCAGTCATAAAGACGGTGTACAGTCTTCATCAATGGACATTGAATAAGGCAAATGAGGCCAAGCAAAACAGTAAAGCTAAAGATAGATCAGAGAGAAGATAAAATTCAAATTGGTGATAGAATAATTTGTTTTTCTTTATTTCTTTATTTTTATTTTATTCTTACTCATATATCTAGTGAATATCAATCTTATATTTACCAAGTCATGCAGAAATTCAAGGGTGAGATTTCTGGGTATATTTGTCTGCAAAAATGTGCCAGGTACCCGCAGGCCACGCGTTCACCTATACGATACACTGTATGTATCATGGAGAATTCTGCAAAGCTGCATGGCCAAAAACCAGATTTGCTGAATCTCCTTGCAAATAAAAGCAGATTGGTCAGATAGGTTTTTTTATTGGGGCTCAGATACATAGTGATACATGGCATGATGGCAGATACATGGCAGATACCGTATCTGTGACAGCGTTGCCGCAGGTACCCGGGTACCCGCCCTGGCGGCCCTAGCAGGTGCGGGTGCGGGTGCGGGTGTCAAAAATATTGGATTTTTGAGGCAGGTACCTGCACCCACTACAGGTACCCAGGTATCGAGTGACATCTCTACTTGTGAAACATAGATGGAAGGATTTGTTTCTTGGTTAGATGTCATTTGAAAAATGCAAAAAATGATTTTGAGAGGGGAGAAATAAAGAGAAGAGACATGAGATGGATGTGATGATACAGGATTCGATTCAAGCTAACCAAACCTGAATCTTAGATCAACTGATATAACTAGCAAGAGCAAGAACACAGACAGCTAACTAACAAATACCCAACCTCTAGCAGCGAAAAAAGCGGATCTTAACATGGCTTTTTTGGAAAAGAAGAACAAAGAATATTTGAACAAAAGTCATCCCTCTCTGTGTTGTAAAACCTACAAATTATGTACTTGTGAAAAGCCCCTATTAGTTCTTCCCTGAAAAGCCCCTACTAATTCTTCCCCGTGAAGATCCATTTTTTTTCTAAAAAAGGGTTTGAGTTACTGGGCTAAGCTCACATTTCCCTTTCCAATGAACTGGTGGACTGATTTTGCGGTGGGTGAAAAGAAGCATGGGTTGATGGGTAGATGCAATGATAGGGAGTCAACTGTTCCTCATGTCATGAGTGAGGCCTTTTTTACTGTACTTGGGAGAGGGCGAAGAGAGTGTCACGGGTATGTTTGGTGACATCCGGGTGGGGGTAGTAGTGTATATGCATATGGATGGCATGCATGCATAACAGAAATCCTCCACCCAGTCGAGACATTTTTTGCAGTTCTTTGCCCACCCAAGCAAGACCCGCCACCCAAGACCAGACACCGATCGCACATCCACCCAAACATGGCCTCGCTTGAAAGCCTGTTCAGCAATCCCACCGCCACCGCTCCTGGAGGATTCGGCGCGAGCGTCGGCTTGGACTTCTTCGAAACACAGTTGGTCGACTCGCAGGCTAGGACCTCCGTCGAGGATGTCAACGATGACTTGAAGATCGAGGTCGAACTGTTTGAGTCTCTCTTCTCCCCCCCTCCCCCCTTTTTTTGTGCTATTCCTTTATTTATCCCTGCTTCATCACCATAATATCGCTCGTACATAGACGGCATGACATTGACTTACATGTCACATTTCCTCCATACCTTCCTTCCAACCTATGATTCCAAACCAACAAAAACTGTGACTCCTCCTAACCCTAAACGGAACCACGTCAACCACGGAAAATGATACCCATCAACCCCTCAAAAAAACCCGCCCCCAGATACAAGAACGCACTAGAGGCGGCCCAACAAGCGGTGCGGAAGTTCGAGACGAGCGGGAAGCCGTTCTTCCGGCCGTCGGACTACTTTGCGGAGATGATCAAGTCGGATGCGCACATGGAGACGATCCGGCTGCGGCTTGTCGAGGAAGCCGAGGGCCTCAAGGCCTCCGAAGAGGCCAAGAAGAAGCGCGAGTTGAAGAAGTTCGGGAAGGCGATCCAGGTCGAGAATAAGTTGCAGCGCGAGAAGGAGACTAAACGGATCAAGGAGGGCGTCAAGGAGCTCCGCAAAAGTTGGTGACACCCTTCTTTTTTCATTATTCTCTGATTTTCGATCGGGTTTCTTTTTTTTTGTTTTGTGGTTGATGAATGTCTGATTCAATCCAAAACAGACCGTAAGGATGTTACCAAACTAGATGGCCAGGGGGAGCAAGAGTTTGAGATTGCGATTGAGGAGACGCTTTCGGGGAACCCGAGGAAGCGGGCGGGAGGGCCGTCGGGATCCGGAAAGGAGTCTGAGGGACGGAAGAAGAGTCGGACGGGGCGGGAGCGCCAGTTTGGGCGGCCGAAGCCGAAGGGCGTGACTGGGCGACGATGGAAGGAGAACACCAAGTCGAGTGCCGGCTCGTTCGAGGGCATGGGCGGCAAGGGCGACGGCAGGATCTCCAGCGGCACCGGCCGTAATAGGGGCCGTGGAAGGGGCGCTGGCGGAAGCTCCAAAAGAGGCTCCCATCGCTCAAAGAGATCCTAATCTTTCCCCTTCTTCCTGGATCTTGCTCTTCATCACTTGTATTTTTCCCCCTTCCCCTTTTTCATAAAAGGACCTCCCTATCCATAATTGCAATCCTTTTGACCAAGCCCAGACCTTAATCAACTTTGCAACATCATCCCATTCGAGACCCGCATTATCAGCAGGAAGACAGACTGTGCACGTATAAGTTAAGAAAGGTCTAGCCTGTTTTCATTCTCCATCTCTCAACCTCACTGGGGCATGCGTCTCTCCCCCTATCTTCTCTCTCTCTCTTCCCCTTCCGTTTATGTGTCTGTCCACCCAAAATCTTAGGCCCAAGGTCCTCGCGCAAAGAGATGGAAAGAGAGCAGGAATTCCGTCTCAAAAAGTCCAAGTCCAATTGGCCTAAATGTTCATGGCATACTCAGTCACAGCATATCTGAAATCATCCGAAGATAAGTTGTGAAGTTCTCCAGCCAGATCTATCATATACTGTAGCGAGCTTCTTTTTGTTTGTCTCATGAATACTCTGTCCGAGGTGTGGTGGGTGAGACGTAGTGTACATACTTAAGCAGACATTGGAAATTTACATGGCGAACTGATGATGATGGTGAAAAAAAAGAAGTGATTACGCCTCCTCCCAAATCCTTGTTGCACTCACTTGATCCTCCAAGACCTGTCGCAGGACACGACAACGGTTGACGGAAAGAGAGTGGAGGTCGAACTTGAAGAAGACCGTTTTAGGAGATCTGGTGGGGATGAGAGTGGGGGAAGGATGTGGCGAGGCATAGTTATTTTCGGGTTTCTGTCCGAGCTCTGTTCTCTTGAGGCTGGAGGCCCTCGGGTCTGAGAGCAGAGCGTCCGTCTTCCGCCGTGGGATTGCTCCAGAAGCGCCTTCCTGGCGAAGCGGCTCAATCACTTCGATGCTCTCTGACCCGCTGCTTTCTTCTTCCGTCGACGAAGGCTCCGGCTCGGCTCGAGCTGATCGACCCGGCCCGGGTCCCCGATGCACCGGCAGGCCGGGCTTGGGAAGCGGCTTCTGACCGGCGGGAGTGTTGCTCTCCGAGCGCAAGCGTGAGCCTCGACGAGGATCGCCGCGCTTCTTCCTCATGAGATCCTCAGACTCATGCTCCAAAGCTCTCTTGTCCATACAAGAGCCGGGTCGAGCGACCGGCTCGGGATCTAAACGTGAACCAGTCGCTGATCGTGGAGTCCGCTTAGAGGATGTTGAAGTCTTGAGGGAGGCGGGCTTGATGGCTCTCGACCGAATGGCCGGAGCGCGTAGCTGAACATCATCAGCATCATCGCACCGACCCGTCTCATCTTGCTTATCATCCAGACTTGCGCCAGCCGGCTCGTACAAACACGAGAGTTTGAGAGGCTTTAGGGGAGAGCTGTGAGGCTCACGACGAGGGGGAGGATGGGGACGGGGACGAGGGGTATTGAATTTGAAGCTGGAGATGGCATCATGGAAGGCCTGTTTGGAATTGGGCCTATGTCCAGAGGCTTTGTAGTGAAAGACCTCTGCTGGAGTTCTGTTACTGGACGAGCCCCGGGCATAGGGTGGGGCCCGGTAGGGTGAGCGTTTGGTGTAGCGGGACAACCGGCCGACCTTGGAGGACGGTCTGCGCCGAACGGCTCTCCGCTCGTCCTGCGTCCACGGCCCGACGGGCACAATCTCTGTCTGGAACTCCGTCGCAGTCGAGCCGCCCTCCGAGTATTGCTGCATGTACCCTCTGCTGCCGACCTGCAAGTCGAATGCTGGCTGCCCTCCATCCCATGCCTCTTCATACCCCGAAGCTCGACCAGACTCTTGCATAGCTTCCTCGGGGTAATAATCCATCGGCTCGTAGTCGTATCCATCGTTATCTAGAGCTTGCGACTCCACCAAGTGGTTGGATCCAGGTCCTCCATAGCTTTGATCGTCATACCTCACTTGATTATCATCATCATCATCGTAGATCTCCGGCTGATAACCCCCCTCGTCCTCCAACCCAGTCTCTCTATAATAACTATCAAACGTATCGTCCGCATATTGGTCATCCTCCTCGGCGATAGAAGTAGAGAACCCGGGGAAGCGTTCTACGATATCGGAAAAAATCGTCCAGAAAATCAGTATCAAACAAACAAGAAGGCTCAATTTCTCGACTTTTTTTTTATTTATTTTCCTGTGAGTGATGTTCAGAAAAAAGTGACCAACCGATTGCGCTAGTGGTGTTTTCGATCCCGTATTCGGTGCCGTAGTTCTCGGAGGGAGAAAGAGGTGGCAGAGGGGCACGCCCAAACTGTTGGGAAGAGTGCCAAGACGGAGAAGGTTGTGCAGGAGTATCGAGCTCCTCCTGGTCGAGGGGACCGCCAGGACTGTGGTTTGCTTCGGAGTATGGACCGAGGATGTGGCGGATCTCTGGAAAGAACTGAGCCTGACCACTCCGGTGTTGGACCCTTGGATGGGATCTAGCACCTCTCTGATGATTGTTGTAGATGGTGGGTGATGAGCTTTGAGGAAGGCTTCCATGAGGTGACATAGGATGATCTGAGGCCGGTCTGATGCCTGATTTGAGCGCATCATGAATATAGGTCTTATGGTGGTTGGCCTCTATGGGCTCATCTTGATAGGGACTTGGACAGTCAAGCGGGTCTTGATAGGACCCAGACTTGTCGAGAGACTCAGCCAAGCCAGGCTGAGCACTAGAGCGATCGCGGACAAGATTCTGATCGAAGGGCCCTCCTGGCTTTATTAGTTGATGACTGTCAGACGCAGACTGGCGGGTGATTCTCATGGCGGGTTCCGGGCGCTGCTCTGGCGGGCCGGGGGGAAGCTTGATGCCAAACTGGGTCCCGGATCGGGGAGGCCGGCTGTTGCTCGCTTTCCGCTTGTTCTTCCTGGCTAGTCGACGGGCAATAGTCCAAGGGGTGTCCTTAAACTCAGCCTGATTTTCTTCCTCCACCGCGCTGATATCGATCGGAGAAGAGGTCCTGGCCACCGACGTGGTATTCCTTCCTGAGTCCGGCTGGTTCTTCGATCCAAATCGTCCGATAGAGGAGCCATTTCTGGCAGTAGCAGTTGGCTGTTGACCGCTGTCCAGACGAGTAGTATCTAAAAAGTTAAACCCACACATCTCAAAGTCACTTGGTCTGTATTTTTTTCTTGCATGTGTCTGTTCGGCCGACTAGCTGTGGCCGGCTAGTAGGAGTGAATACCTTGAGGGACTTGGGATACTCACCTCAAGGCCCAAGCGAGGGGAAGGAGCCAGCTATGTAGAGCGAATCTGGAACAAGAGACTGTTGTGCTCACTTGTGAAGATGGTAGGCGAGCTCGGCACATCCTGCCTCCTGCGCACCGGGAAATGAGTGATATCTTGTTCCTGTTGACCATCCGATTCGGAATCCTGGTCGACGAGCTCAAAAGTGGCCGACGTTCGACCCCATGCCGATGATGGGTTTTGCTCGGCCATCTCGTCTGGCCCGTGGGGGAGCCAGTCTCCTTGGGCGATATGTGAGCTGAGTTTACCAAAGATGTAGTGTGTGTGTGGCTGGAGTGAGTTGGAGTGGTCAAGAGCAATAAAGCCGTTCCCCAGGCTCTCCGGGTGAGGAGGTCCGGCTGGGCTCAGCCAGAATGTGCTGAGATCTGGGTATATGCGGTCCTCCCGAGCAGTCGCTCATTATTGCAGTTTTCTGACAACCCACTCCCTATGGCCAAGCTCCAGCTCAACTCACAGATTGGACATGCTGGGAGTTTGATGAGGGCGGAGGCCCATTCCTTTGCCCGAGCGGAACCCGAGGAGTTGATCCTCCCGATGGCTCTGAGCCGGGACCGGCCTCATATCAGCCCTTCTTGCACTCTTCACACGTCTGGATGAGCGCCGACGAGCGACCTCGTTCTTCCTTATGAGAGAGAGGGCTCCAAGGAAGTAAATAAGCTCTTCAATGGAACAACCATACTGGCATTTCGCCCAGCCGAGACTGGAAACGCGTTTCAGCTTGCTCCAGCCTCGAGCGCTGGCCATACAGAGACTGGGACCCGAACTTCCTCTTGGGTATACATCCTTGACAAGTCCCATGGCTCCAGCTTGGGAGGAAACCCAGTCACAGAGACTGTATCGCCCTTCAGACCTCGTCTGCTGGGCACCACTGCTTGGGTTATAACACTCACTCTGTCATCCCGTCCACGTTTCTCCCACTTCCGTATCCCGCCCTTGGCCATCCCTCTCTCCCTTCGGCTGCTCCTAAATTAAGCGAACCTGCTTCTGCCAAGCTCGCCCATTCGCTCACTTGATATAATATATATATATATTTTGACATTCCTTTGAAGAAATTATTTGAGTCTCCCCTTTGAACGGAACTCGCACCACACATCGGCACAAGCAAACCGGAACGAAGGTCCGACGAGCCAGAAAGTAGCACGATGCATTTGCCCGATAACCTGTCCTCCACCAGGAGTCTGTGTATAGCAGCCCTCTACGCCACTGCAACTCTAGCCTCCATCACTCCACCTCCCGGCTTCCCGGCCTCTGTCCAGCCGCAACAGGCCCCAGGCACGCCGGCCTCCACCCCGCCTCCAGTCAAACCTCAAGCTGTTGGCACGCCTCCCCCTCCTGCTCCTATCCCACCCGCAAATCTTCCCTGCGTCGCTCAGAATCTAACCGCTGACACCTGGAACCGGCTGCAAATTGACAAGTATCTGGCCACTTATCCCGGCGGTCAGAGTCTCACACTATCAGTAAGTCCTTTCATTTCCTCTTTTCTTGCAAGCAACCTTTTTTTTTTTTTTTTCCTCCACTCTCTCTCTCTCTCTTTTCTTTTTTTTTTCTGTCATCCTTACCCCAATATTGACATCCAACCCTTGCTTTCCTTCCAGCAATATGCAGACTCGAAAGGCGCCCAAAACTTCCGCTGCGGGATCGAGGAATTCTGCTCGAGTGATTCGATATGTAATCCGGTGCCTGCGCCCGATTGGTACGTCCTCCTCGCCGCCCAGGAATGGAACAATTGGATGAACTCGGTCCTCCAGGGCGGGCATTGCGCTGTCATCACCGCCGCAGATAACATTCTCATATCTCCCCTTGGAAAAGTCTTATTCAACACTGTGCTCAATTCCTCTTGATTTCGACTGGATGGTCATAGTGGTGTCTGCGCTCATGGTCACCGGATTGTAAGTCTCAAGAAGCAGAAGTCTCTCTAAACAGTTCCGACGACTGACGATCTCCAACGACTCCTTTCCGGCCTGATATGTCATGCTTCCAGAGCCGAGCAAAACATCCACGCCCACGAGATCGCCTTCGGCGTGGGAGCGTTAACATCTCTGTTAGCATCGGCCGCCGCAATCGTCGGCCTTGCCGCCGCCACGCTCTTCCTGGCCGGGTTTGTGTTTGCATTGGCGCCGATCGCCCTGGGTGCCGGAGCGGTCGCGTTGGTCTCAACTCAAGTGGCTCCTCTGGCCTTTGGAGCAAGTTCTCTGTTAGCCAACAAGCCCGAAGACAAGAAAAGCTTCATCAAGGTTCGTCACTCCCCCCCAGTCAACTCTTTCCCTCAATCTCTGGCTCATTATCGTCTCTCCCCTCTTGATGAATTGATTTTTCGCCGTCCCCTTTTTTTTTTCTCAGTGGGCTTCAGTCGGCAACATGTTCTCGCAATGGGAGATCCACATGCAATCCATGATCACCAACACCACCCAAACGGTCATCAACTCTCCGATCAGCTCGAACGCCGGCATCAGCTCCGTCCTCCGAAACGGCGTCTTCTTGTTCGACACCCAAACCAAGTCCACCTCCGAGCTCCAAATCGACTACGAAACCGTCCTGCAAGCTAGGTCCCTTAACTTGGTCCTCCGAGCTATGGTCCGTCTTCTCTCGTCTTTCTTCCCCCCCCCCCCCCGCATCCATCTGACTAACTCCTCATTCTCATCTCCTAACTTTCTGTCCTTCAGGGCGCCTTTGTGACCAGAGGCAGTGTGCGTATTTTCATCATTCATTCATATCTCTCTATTCGGCATTGTATAATCCATTGACACCATTCACTTCTTCCATATCCTCTAGGACAAATGCAATTCGAAAGGCCCCAACGGAGCCTGGGGCGACGAAGGAACGCTGTCGTACTGCGGCCCAGACAAAGTGTGAGCAAGCTCTCCATACACCCCCGGTCTTCGGGGATCCGATCCGAACTGACGACTGAGCATAACTTTCCTCCTTGGATCCATCGATCACTCATCAAACAAAATCAGAATGATGAACATCGTGCTGGCGCATGGCGATAAGACGAAGAACAAGATCCAGAACGCCAAATATATCGCGACCAAATTCGGATTCACCACCGAATATATCGTCACTCAATCGTGGAACTGTCAGCAGAAATACCAGCAGTTCGAGTTCGATCCGTACCGTGATGCGTGAGTGTCTTTCCAATCACCTCGTCACTCATAGGCCTCCGCACTCAACTGTTGTTTGTTTCTTGTTTCGGGGGAGGTACAGGCCGTTGCCCTCGGATGCCAATGCGGACTGTGTGATGAACCTGCCTGTTTGCGACCTGACTGACCAGAGTGAGTCTCCCCCATTGTTTTCCTTTTTCCACCTTATTGTGTTGATCATCATCCGCATCATTCTTACCTGTTTTTTCTTTCGTCCCGCAGGAATCGACCAAGCCCGTCACGGAAAACACCACCACACGACCAAGGCTTGCAGGACCCAGGGCGGCCTCCCTATCTGATCGACCACTGACATTCTCACCCCTCTTGCACACACTCTTCTTCGCGTCCAATCCTCCCTTTCGAGGTCGACGAGCATTCCTCATTTATATTCATATATATATATATATATATGTCCTTGTTAATCTTGTCTTGTCTTCTCCGTCTCCTGTTGCTTTGCTATTCTTCTTCTTCTTCTTCTTCTTCTCCTGCTTTGCTTTGCTTTGCTTGACTTGCTCTCTGGCGATCATCGTCGTCCATCACATCACTCGTTTTCTAGAACCTAAAATCAGAGAATATTCAACCCTCAGTCCTCCTTTTCTTTTTTCTTAAACCAATAAAACCTTCTTGTCATTCTTAGTTTTACACATATATATATATATACAATCCATCGAAAATGACTATTGTCGAAAAAAAAAAGATGAATCCGTTTTGGCCGAGGACGGACAGGATGATGATGAGAGGCTGCAGTTTCTCGGTGGAGTTTTCCAGACTCAGATAGATACATTGGAGAGGGAGGAGGAGGAGGAGGACTAGTGCGCCTGGATGTTGCCCAATCCTTGACGAGGAGATTGGGGATGAAGAAGGCGGCTCTCTTCTTCGTCTTGTCTTTGCGATCGGGGCGCAGATACATATTGTCGCCATCAGTTGATGTGACTGTTATTGATCAAGTGGATTTGTGGACTGCTCTCTAAAGAAAGAAGAGATAACACGTGGTTTTTTGTTTTTTTCAAGAGCACACTGCTGGCTGCTGATCAAGGACTTGACAGCACTGAAATAAAAGAAAATATGGAACAAGACTGAAGTCATTCAATCCTAGTTCTCTTGCTTCTTTCTTCCACAGTTGCACTGTGAAGCTGGTCCACCTCTGTTGAACGATCGACGAGGTTTCAGCAGCCCTTTCACAGTCTTTTTTGTGTGTGGGCCTGTGACAGGTGAGATGCCGAGACCAACTCCTCGATCCCCCGGCAAGGATTTCTGGTGCCAAGCTTTTGACCAGCCACACTCCGAACGGTCGATGATAGTCAACTGGTCAAAACAACTCATCTCATCAACAGCAACAGCAACAACCATCAGCAGAAGAACAACAGCAATCAGAACGACCAACTCAAGATATTCGACGACGACGACGACGAGGAGGAGTCATAATCGAACGATGATCTCTGTCAGTGATCTTAACCCGGCTATCATTCAGGCCCAATACGCCGTCAGAGGAAGGATCGCCCTTCGCGCGGAACAGTTCAGTCCTCTCAAAAACAAACCCCTCCTTCTTCTTCATATTCCAAAATCTGGTATCTATACTGAAAAAAAAAAAATTGGATTTGGTTTGTTCTTATGTAGACTTAGAGCTACTTTACAAGCTGATCCGGATGCCAAAAATCAACTAGGATTCGATTCGATCATCAATTGCAACATCGGAAATCCGCAACAACTCGGCCAGAAACCGATCACCTTTTATCGCCAAGTTCGTCCTCTCCTTCCTCCCCCCTTTCCATCATTATCATACCAAAAAAAAAAAAAAAATTGATGTATGAATCTTTTTGGGGTGATGGTAGGTGGCATGTTTGACGGAATATCCGGAATTGATGGACGCTCCTGAGGCCTCCAAGTTGTTTCCTAAGGACGTCGTAGACCGTGCTAGGTCTCTTTTGGACTCCATCGGCAGCGTCGGAGCGTACAGTCATTCGATGGGCGTCCCAATCATTCGACAACATATAGCCCAATCATCAAGAGTCAGTGTCTAATTTCTTCTTTGAAAAGGAGCCCCCCTCCCCCTCCCCCAAAAAAAGGCTAATCGTGAAAAAAAAAAAACAATTATGGATGTGAAAACAAAAATCGTAGAACGAGATGGATTTCCAGCGGATCCAGAGACGATATATTTGACAGCAGGAGCCTCAGCAGGAGTGTCGAATATCATGCAACTATTACTATCTAAAGGAGACGGATGGAGTGATGATACCGATTCCACAATACCCATTATACACGGCGGCGTTAGCCCTGAACTCGGCACGAGCGGTGGAATACTACCTTTCGGAGGCGGACGATTGGGCGCCGAATCTAGCCGGCTTAGAGGAAGTGATACGGAAGGCACAGGAGGAGGATCAGACGAAGGTGCGGGCGATGGTGGTGATTTCACCGGGGAACCCGGTGGGCAATTGTCTGAGTCAAGAGAGCATGGAAGCGATTGTCCGGTTCTGTTTCAAGCACAAGATCTTGTTGCTAGCCGACGAGGTCTATCAGACCAACATCTTCGAGCCCGAGCAACGACCGTTTGTCTCGTTCAAGAAGGTGGTCCGCGGGATGGAGGAGTCGATTGCCTCGGGCCAGGGATTGATCAGCTTCCACTCGATCTCGAAGGGACAGACGGGCGAATGCGGCCGTCGAGGCGGTTACTTCGAGCTCGTCAACATCCCCAAAGAGGTCCAAGAGCAAGTCTACAAGATGGCCTCCATCCAACTCTGTCCGCCCCTGGCCGGCCAGATCGGCGTCGATCTCCAAGTCAAGCCGCCCCTCCCTGGTGACGAATCTTATCCCCTCTTTAAGAGCGAGGTCGACTCGATCGCACAGGCTTTGGCAGATCGCTCAAAGACCCTCGCCGACTCGTTCAATCGGCTCGACGGCCTCTCCTGTCGAAAGGCCCAGGGCGCAATGTATCTCTTTCCGAAACTCGAGCTCCCGACTAAGGCTCATCAAGCCGCCGAACAAGCAGGCTTACCTGTCGACGAATTCTATTGCATGGAATTGTTAAATCAAACCGGGATTTGCGTATGTCTATCTTTCATTCTAACATGTTTTTTTTTTGGGGGGGGGGGGGGTTATATATACTTACTCTTTCCTTTTCTGGGTTTGGATCGTTGGGTGGACATAGATTATTCCGGGATCGGGGTTCGGCCAAGAGCCGGGGACGTTCCACTTTAGGACGACCTTCTTGGCCCCTCAAGTGGATGATTATGTGGCTCGGTTCAAACAGTTTCATTCCGCCTTCTTGAAAACTTATTCTTGATGACCAACAAAGAAAGAAAAAAGCCTCCCATCGATCCCACTTTTTGTTCATTTACATACGTACCATGCCGTTGTTTAGTTGTTTCTTCTTATTTATCTCTCTTCTATACACTGTTTCCTCCTCTCTTTTCTTTTGAAATCAAGGAACACACATCATTCCAATCACTTGTGACTTGAACACGTCAATTTCATGGGCAGCTCTGATACATATACATACATCTATGTTAGACCTATCATACTTACAGATCATTTTGTGAATACATACATCAACAAGAATTTCTTTCCTTTTTCACAGCCATCTCCACTCAATCTACTCTCTACTTCATAATCCATGCTCCTTCTGATCCATCTGATGGTTATATACACAAACAGGAATGGATTGATGATCCCATGCATACATCTTCCATGATGATGATGATGATGAAGGAGGTTTCTAATCTCTCAAGATGGATCCCTGACCAAAAGAAAAACATGAATGGTTGGGTTGGTTAAAGTGCAGTGCCTGTAGGTCTAGAACCAGCAGGGGGGGGGGGGGGAATACCAGAGCAGCAAAACAGGACCCCGGTGGAAGCCATTCTTAATCAATCCCATAGCTGAGGGGTATGATCCAAAAGGATGACAGCAAGTTGGAGTGGTGCAGATAAATTGTAGAAGCTGGTTGTGGATGATGATGATGGATTGAGGAGTGGGATATTGAGATGACATGTCTGTGACAGGATCTGTGAACCTCGCGAGAGCCACTTGTTCACTTCGATCGGATCAAAGTGGGTTTTCGGAAAACCAACCAACCAACCGAGCGACGAAACAGGAGGGGACAACCAATCACAAAAAAAGAACGATACGCGATCAAGGTATGTCGAGATCAAGCACATCATACTGACTGCTACATCGATTTGCTAAGATTACACATGAACAGGGACGACGAAAACGAAGATGACGGTCAATGGGATGGGCACGATGATGTACCAACAAGTGCGCCGGTTCACGAGCGGGATGACGATCCAGTTCCCGCTGCAGCCGGCCAAGCAACGCAAGACGGTCCCGATCCGCAACCCGCGTCGGCCGCATCTGCCCGACCCTCTCGACAGCGACCCCTCCGCACAACGCTTCAAATTGGCCGAACATCCCCGGGTGATGTTCGTGATTCGGGAGCCCGGAGGGACGGCGAATCTGGCCGACAAGCTCGGGAAGCCTGCGACGCTCTCGTCCAAGACCGAGGCCATCGACCCGGCTCCTCCTTCCCCCACCATCATCGGCCTCTCCCATCCCATCCTCTCTTCTTCTTTACCATCATCTTCTTCGACTCCAGCAATCTACAAACTCCCGCCCCCGCTTCGAAAGCCTAAACCATTCGCAACCTCGTTGACGCCCTCTCAAGCCCAGGAAATCCAGAAGCTTCGGCCCTCCCATTCGCTCTCCCAACTCAGTCGGAGATTCAACGTCCCCCGAATCCTCGTCGCGATCCTCGGACCCCCTTCCCCGCAAGATCGCGCCCGAATCAACACCAGACATTCGCTCAGAACCGCCCGCAAACAGGCCCGTTGGAGCGTCCCTAAAGTCGTCAGGAGACACGAGAAACTCGTCCGTAGAAGTTGCTGGTGATCTCTTATACCCTGATCACCTCATCATTCATTCCTCTTTGCTTTTCTTCTTCGTCTTCTTCCTCTTTGAAAAAAAAACGTCAATCATACATTTCTTTTTTTTTGGTTAATGTCAAATGGTGACTAAATATATATATATATATGGGCCGCATCGATATGGGGAGAGAGAGAGAGAGAGAGAGAGAGATACCTGAAAGAAGAGCACGGAGAGAGATGAGCGATGGTGTGGCGAGAAAGCCAAGAAGAACATGCCAGGAGAGAGAGAGAGAGGATCCCATTGGTTGGGGTCTTTGTTTCGACCCGAACACCAGATGGCTGAGAGTCATACGTCCACAAGAAATTGAGAGAGAGGAGGACAGGAATTGAGGAGATCCTGAGGTCCCAGTTGGACATATCGACTTATCAGCTGCAAGTTTGGTCGAATCCTCTCCTTTCTTTCAACCTGATTTTTGTTGGATGGATGAGAACAACACAATGCGGGTTTACATCGCCATTTGCAATCCTTGCTTTCCTCTTGTGTTTTTCATAAGTACATCAAAAGAACAATAGATAGGAGGAATAGATGAGGAAAACATGCTGCTTCGAAATCGTATCCAAGGCTATCGACGATTTCTATAAGTTATATATGTAAACAGATAAACCGTCTATGCATGCAAAAAAAGAGTGGAAAAAAAAAACACAACCCCACAATGGGATGATGACGATGATGATGATGTCCGAGAATGATGATGATTTTGGGTTTTCTGATTCGGGTCGGGCTGATTGGTGATAACTTTTCCATGCTCACAAATAACAACAACAAAGTTTTTTTTTAAAAAAAAAGCAACCTAAAGAAGGAGAAAAAAAAAACGAGAATGAAAGAATATAAAAGATGCCGTATATTATTCAACACTCAAATAAACAGTAAAAGAAAAGAAAAGTGTTTGGTGATTGCAACACGAAAAAAAAAAAAAACACAAATCCTTGTATATTTTTATCCGCTTGAAAAAAAAAAAGGGAAACCGACGAATGAATGGACGAGATCTCACACGGACAAGAAGAGTAGAGGAGAGGAGAGAAGAGAAGACAGAAGGACGTACAAATAATCCAGAGGTTCGCCCGTTCCTCGCAACATAACTCTCCTCCATTCTAAGACCAATCTAAACATATAAGCCGCCTATAACCCAACCCAAGTCAACCCAAAGAAAGAAGTATTATTTGGAAAAAGGGATGTTTACCATATCAGTTCTTCTCCAATGTTCAGCCGCCCAACGTTTGCCCTGAGAAGCGATTTTCTCAGCCAATTGGTCGTGTCCATTGTTCTTCTTGGTTTTCCGCTTCTGATGTTGATTATTATAACGCTCTCTTCCTCCGTCTCCGTCTCTTCTGGATCTTTTCCTTTTGCGTTCTGATGATCGCTTCGTCGGTCGGCTCTTGGGATCATTGCTCAGTTCTTCTTCCTCCTCCTCCTCCTCTTCTCCTTGGAAAAAAACCATCACATCATATAAACTATTTTTGGTTTGTTTGTTTGTGTGTTTCAATAAACAAAAAGCAAAAAACGGAAGAATCTGTCAGTAAACGATACTTTTTTTGTAGATCGATATGCAGTTAATTCCAAAAAGAAGAAAAAGAAAGGGAGGTACTTACTCGGAATAATCCACTTTAATAGGAACATAACTTAAAAAAAAACCCATTAAACAGCAAAAAATGAAACACCCCCACCGGAGCAAAAATAGTAAGCATAAGACTGATCAAAAGAAAAGATGAGAAGAGAGAAAAAAAAAGGACGTACTGAACCCAAGGTTGGATTCGATCCGAATACCATTCCGGAAAGATTGTCGACTTGAGCACTAAAGATTTCGTCGACATCAATCGATGAAATCTTCCTGACCAACCATTCTATATATACATTAAAAGGGATTATGATTTATAATCAAATATCTATATAAAGTATATATATAAGGGGGATTGAAGAATAGACAGAACTTACGCCGTCTACATCCATTAAATATTTATACTACGAGAGAGAAGTAAACACGAAGAAGAAAAAAACACAGGATCAGGGCCGAGGATTGAGACGAGGTGGGAAAGGTGGAAGAAGAGAACGGACGAACCTGATAGCTTTCATCCAAGCCCATGGTCCCCGCGAACTTCAAATGGGTGTGCATATACTCACAGGTAACAGGGTCGCATTGGACGGGTCCGCCGGAGAAGGAGACATCCAACAACTTATGGTTGAGCGACTCGATGTCTTTAGAGACGATCCGAGTGAGCGAGTCGTCGGGCGAGAGGATGTGGGTGGAGCCGTTGGAATGGTGGGCCATCAGATGCAGACGCGCCCGCTGACTCGCTCGCCAATCCACATCGCTCCGGAACTCCGCCCCCGTCGTCGACCCCCTCCATAATAACTTCGTGATCTTCTTCTTCGACCATTCTGGATCATCGCCGATATACGTATCGCTATATTGTTCCAAGGGCGTCACTAATATGTCGCTCTGTGTCCTGTACACACACACACAAACAACAAACATTTTTTTTTTCAGTGGTTTGTTTATAACTCAGATGTAAGAAAACAAAAACACAGACGTGGTCTTGGCGAAAGTGAACAAGGGAACTAGTTCGACGTTATCAGTCCCCGCAGCACTGGTGAATCCATGCAACTTCATACTCTCAGGATGGCCGCAAATCTCCATGGCTTTTGAATGATCGTATATAAACGACTTGGTTCCCCCGTTATTCTTGTTCCTCATTCCGGGCGGTAGAGATTCGTCTTCTAGGGGTGGGAGGTTCGACTCGTTTCGGTATAAGGCTGAGTGCGGCGGACATGCATTCGCCCAGTTGCTTAGCTTCGGGTTCGACGGTCTTATATAATCCGAGGGCGAAAAATCTTCATCAAACACACACACATATATATATTCAAATCAGTTCCACCATTTTCAAAAAAAAAAAGAAGAGAGAGAAGAGAAAAGAAAGGACGTGATACTCACATTCACCAGCCTCAGCCATCTCTACCATTTTCTGTTTCCGAGGCCAAGTCATTTGGACGGCGGGTTGATCGTGTTTAGTGAACGTGAGGTTCAAGAGATGATTGATTGAGCCGGAGTTCTGAGGCAGCAGATGGACGAAGAGGTTGATGAGTTTAGCAAGATCCTTAGCGCGAGCGAGATGGCCTTCTTTGCCGGAGATCAAGACGGGGGCAGTAGAGTTGATGGTCAGGGTGAACGTTTCTGGGCGTTCGTTGGCCATCACCCAGGCGCGATGAAGCAGGTCGGAGGGCTCGATGGCTAGGAACGGCTTGATGTCCGCGCCGATTTGGTCGTATTCATCCGTCAAGATCACCCCCTCTTTCTGTGCATATTCCCACCACTTCTCGAACCCAAAGGGGGGCGGTTGATGGTATCTCCGGCGATATTCTGCAACGGCTTCTTCCAAACTTCTCGAGCTTTTCGCGACTTTGTTGGCCCATTCTTGTTCTGCTTTGTCGATCAGATCCAGGATCGGATGGCGTTCTAATGGCGGTGGTTGGCTCAGATAGTAGAGTCCATTGGGATGGTAGTTCGTAGGTAGGGTGGACTGGTTGGTTTGAGATGTAGATTGATTGTTGTGCTTGTTGCTGTTCTGTTGCTGTTGGTTGGTGGTAGTGGTTGTAATCAGACTATCTTCGAGTTCGACTGCATCGGAGGTGGCCCAGTTTGACCATTTGAATGGTTTGGGTACATAGGTCTTGAGGGTCTCCTTGTTGGGCAGATATCCCTTGAGTCTGTCCTGTATGGCCAATGATGATGCTGATGTTGGCAAGCTGTTGTTCGTGTTGGTTGTTGATGATGAGTAGAAGATGAGGAGGATGGAGAGTGAGAGGAGTAGGGTGGTAAACAGCAGCAGTCTTCTGATTCCAGCCATCCTTCCGTCTTTTTTTCTGCGGGGGAGTGCTTGTTGGGTTTTTATTGTCAATAAGCACAGCATGACGTCACTTGATCAACCTCAACCCCCTCACACCCTCGGGGGAACAGGACACCACATCACCCCCCCCGAATAAACTTTCTCTCCGGGGAAAAAAACCCCTGCATACAAAAAAGCATGTCTACACATTTATCTATTCAACTACAAAACTTCATTTCATTAATCAAGAAACGTCTAGATACATACATACATCTCACTAGATTACTCAAGCAGAACAAGGAGCTGACAATGCTTCCTCACATCAATCAACTAACTCCCCCAAGAGAACAACAACAAAAACATAAAAACTTGAGAATATGTGTGTGGAAACTTAAGATGATATTCAAGACGACGATCAGAGATGGGTTTATCATATCAAACTGAGCAAGTAGTGTTCGATTACATATGCAAGTACGTTAGGATCAAAGCGAAATATGCAAATAAATGTATAAGAAATTGAGCAAGAATGAGGACTCTTATGGTTGATGTTGCTGTTGTTGATGCTGTTGATGCAACAACTGAATAATGGACGTAATCCTATACACACACGCACACCAAAACAGATCAACAACAGTTAAAAACAAAGAGGGAGAAGAGTGAGCGAGAGAGAGAAAGAAAGACGGACCCATTAATAGCGAATCCAGCGGGCCCAAGTTTGTCGAATTCCGTCGACAGCTGATCAGCCACGATCGGTTGTTGATGTTGCCCATCAGGATTATGAGACAGAGGATAATTATTTTTATTAGGTTGGGATGGATGAGGGCTCAGAGGATGATAAGAGTTACGTTGTTGATGATAATGGCCTTGTGGTGGTGGTGGTGGTGAAGGATGATGATGAGAAGGAAGGACGGAAGCGGAATGAAGGGCCCGGTTTGGCGCGACATGTTCTTGATGGAAGTTACCGAGTGTCGTCGAAGGATCCGAATAAACGGCTGCTTGTAGCTTAGGATTCATCTGATCCTGATTACCTAGACGATGCTGATGATGAAGAGGGTGACTGGATTCAGGAGGAGTGGATGAGCTTCTCTTGGTGGGATGGAGTACTGGAGCAACGACTGGAGTCCTTGGAACGGCCTTCCTCCTACCCACAGACTCGCCCAGATTGACAGGATACTCAGGAGTCCGTTTGAGACGAGGAGAATCATCCATCCCATTCTGCTTTGTCTGAAACTCATTAAGCCGCTGCTTATGGACCGGCTTAGGACTCATGATCGCGTCGGTTGGTTGGCCACGACTGAGACTCCGACTGTGACTACTTCCACTTTGATGAGATGTATGTGGATGGACCGAGACACTACCACTGCTCACCGGCGTACAAACTCGTCGGATCTCTTCTATCACTGTTCGTCGTCGGCTTTCTGCCCATTCATCCGTCTTTCGGATCTGTCTCTTGATCTCCTTCAACTCTTGTTTTCGTTTTAAATCAATCTCTAAAATTGCTATTATCATTAAAAAAGGGGTTTTTTTTGAAAGGAGCATTAATCAATCAACCAATCAATCAACAAACAAACGCACAATCAGAGAAAGGAAAGTAACATACATTGTAGATGAGCATCGATCAAAGCATAATTGCAGGCCATAGTAGACTGATCACCTTGGATAAAAGCAGCTTGATGAGCAAGTGAAGGAGGAGATGAAAGTCTACAATTGCTAGACTTAGTGGTACTAGTAGTAGTTGGGGAATGTGTATATCTTGGGGTTGCGGATTGTCGGACGGGAGATCGGGGAGATAAGCAAGAAGTGTTCGGACGTCGGATATGATGATTTTCTTGAGGTATCGACCCAACAACCTGCCCCCCAAAGTTAAATGAGAGTTGATTTCGATGAGGAAATGAGTAAAAAGAGATGGAATACTCACGGATTGGTGATGCCCGTTAATGGACTGATTAACATCCATTGTCCCATTTTGACGAGGAGGAGCAGGGAATGAATGATGTGGATTATGATCAATAAAGTGAGAGTTGTATTGTTGATCTTTGTTATACAAGATTGATGAAGAAGGATGATGAGGATGAGGGAGCGAAGGAGGTCTAGTGCTCTGGATGCAAAGACTGGCTGGTCGAGGAGGTATATCTGGTGGCGGGGGCGAGCTTCTCGGCGGGTCGAGATCGACTGTTAGTTCCTTACTTAATGGCGACTATCAAAAAGAAACATATCGTTTCAGTTTTTTCTTCTTTCTTTTCTCTCGATCACGAACCACAAAAAAAAACAGATGATAAACTGACAAATATGCCGTTGCTGTTACCAATCGTCGGTTTTTTGAGAACAGATACATGGGGTTGGTGGTGATGGAAATGGGTCTGAGAATGAGGCGAGTGATGATGATGAGGATGAGAAGAGGGCGAGTGAGAGCTGCGGTCCTCTGATTGATGATATTCTCCGTTTGGTAGTTGATTTTCAGGTTGGTCACAGGAGAGACTGTGATCCCCACCGGATGGTGAATGATGAGTCTCGCTTGAAGCAGATATTGAAGGAGCTTGCTGAGATTGATGATTTGAATCAGTGTCACGAAAGTTTACCGGGCTGCTTCTGATGATCTCAGTAAGCTGAGCCTTAAGAGATCGTGGACGATCATGAGCAGGAGATTGACAAGGAGGGGCGGGCGAATGAGAGGTAGTAGAAGGTGGCTGATTGGTGATCAAGCCTGGCTCGACGGGATCGTGTTGTGAGTTCATCTTACGCTGATGCCATTCTCGCGCCTTTTGACTACCATTACTACAAGATCTTGAGTTGCTGCTGACACTGCTTTTGGGCGAGGAGATCAGATGTGCCTTGGGTGTACCGAGACGAGCCGACAAGGATTGCATCATCGACGTGGGCAGGGCACTTGGGGAGGGCGGTCGATATCAATATAGCTGGCAATCATGACTTTGCTTAGTTATCACTTGAGTCATCGATGGCTGTTCGTCTTGATGATCTAATAATTCGAGAGGAGGCTCGTATCGATCCAGTCCTCAAATTCATCAACATCATCTTCGCATCGTCTTGTGATTGGGTACTCGGTGGAGACAAGTCCTCCTGGGGCGATGAGTCAACGCTGGTCGAGCCTGTTTGATTGAAGTATCGCGCCGGATTCTTGGGCTGGAGGGTCCTAGAAATCGGTGGCAATAAATGAGATGGCTCTGGTGCCTAAAAAGCAAGTTCATCTCAATTAGCAAACTGTTGAATCTCCAAATGTGCGAGGAGGGACCGATAAGGAAAGAATCACACTAACTTCTAAGTTTTCTTGTATCACATGAGGTAAGGGAGTATTCCGGGTGAGAGATGAACCATCGATTTCCCCGGTCGGCGCTCGAGTGTGGTTGGCTCCAGAAGAGGGTGCGGGAGAACTTGAAATAACTGATTCGACCTGAGTTGTACAAATCTGATCTTCAGTCTTGACCACTGGCTCTTCGATCGATTGCTTCTTATCCTCAACAACAGGCCGAGGGGGCCGTGCCTTTTGGCCAAATTCTGGGATTTCTCTCAGATCCGAAACCAATTTCTTGAGCGCCGAAACGGACGAGAGGTTGGTTGTGGGTGGTTGAGGCTTGACCGGCATGAGCTCTGTTGCTTTGTTGGTACCAACAGGAGAGAGATTTAAGTCTCTCATTCTCTCAGCAGCTAGTCTGATCTCTTCCTCCGCTTTCAACGACTTTGCCCGGAATTCCTCTTCCGCCTGCAATTCAGTTGTCAACTTCACTAAAGCCTTTTCTCCATCTAGAAGACCTTGACGGAGTATCATGTCTTCTGGTTCAAGTTCAGTGGCTTTCTTGAAAGCTTCGCAAGCACGTCTCATTCTCTCGACTCTTTCTAGTTTGGTGGTGGGAGACTGTGCTTCTTGATCTAGAGCCCACAGTTCCATCATCCGACCTAACTCCCACCAACATTCTACGTCAGTTTCATCGATTCCTAATGCATCCTGTAGAACGCTTGCCGCCTCTTGATACTTATTTAGTCCTTCCAAGTGTTCGGCGTAGGCTAGTCTGAATCGATTGGTCTGTCGAATGTTTTGAAGATTTGAACCGGTCAGATTGGATGAAATGTGGATCGCCTTTCTGAAGGCTAGAGAGGAATTTGATAGTCTTTGTTCTCGTTCGTTTTCGTTTTCGGTCGGATATACCAGCAATAATGACCATGCTCTTCCTAAAAAAAGCCATGTGAGTGGATCTCGGGTATCTGGGAATGTTTTCAAATAAGAGTCAGTCAATTTCGACTCGATGCAAAACAAAATCCGCCCCTGCCCCGCAAAATACACAATCATGTGAATTTACCTATCTGAATGCTTTGTTCTAAGTAGTGAATCGCCAATTTCAAGCTGGGTTCGCTTCTAGGAGACGCGCGACTATTTCCGATCCTGCGAGAGACGTTGCCTTGCCTAGTATCATTCTGATCGGGTTCATTGAATCTCAGGTAAAGCTTCCCAAGATCTCTGACAAGTTTGGCATCATTGGGATTTTCCATCAGTTGTGAGACTATTTCGTCTCTTGATCTAATCAACTGATTCATCGGACAAAATGAAAGAATAAGCAAATCAAATAATCAGCTGCTGGTGTTATTTTTTTTTGTTGATTACTGTTGCTAATTAGCAATAAATGAAAGAGCCTACTTGATCTCTTTTTTCCTTTTCGATTCTCTTAGTGATCTGTCGATTAGCGACGTCTAGATCTCGTTGACGATTGGAGATGTGGGTTTTGATTTTTTTACGTTTGAGTAAGCTGATAGCATGTTGATGGTGAGTATGGACTGGATGGTTTTCGATCGATGTAGATTGAGGATGATGAGAGTCAGCCTTGGATATCTGAGAGGAGTTTGGGAATGGATTATCAGGTGAGGGTGATGGATCTTGATGGTCTTTTGCAGAGACAAATGATGGTTGGTTTGGGCTAGGATTGGTGGTGATTGATTGAGACTGTAGACTGTCGGCACGGGAGCGAGTTGACTGGTAATTCGTCGATCCTGAATGATTAGTCAGACGAGTTGGGGATTGGTGTGATCGAGTGGAGGTGATCGAATAGGAGGTCGCAGTTCGGTTTGATGGGGAGAGACTGTTGGTCTGATGAAGATGATTTGAGTGTTCGGTTCTTGGATAGTCCCCAGGCATCATGGGATTTGAAGATACTTGTTGTTGTTGTTGTTGTTGTTGCTGTTGTTGTTGTTTTTCAAGTTGTTCAAGTGGTTGGAATGGGCAGGTTGAGGAGGATAGGCTCAAGTGAGTTGAGATGGAGCCGGTTGAGATTGGGGATGAGACTGAGGTGTGGGTTGGTTCGGTGAGCTCACTGTGGTAGTAGGAGTGGGATGGGGTGGGATGGGTCTTTAGTCAGCCTGCATTGCTCATAGTAGTTATATGTGTGTCAAGGGGAATGAATGTTTTGCTGTGATATGACAATGGCAATGAGTCCAACCACCCGTATGACGATCCGATCGTCGGTTGATGGTCAAAGGGGAGGGGACAGATCGGGGCTTAGGTAATCCAAGTTTTCCCTCCGAAAGACCTGACATTGTTTTGCTTACCTAATCACCGGACTTAACACGTGATTCTCGATCCCCCACCGATTACCCCCAACGGTCTCGGCCACCATCCCGGAGGAAAGGGCAGTGCTGGGGGAGTTCCGGCTGAGTCTCATGGCTAGGCCATCGGCCCTGCCAGTCCGGGCATCCCAGTCCGATCTCTCCTCGAGCTCCAGTCCTCGTCCGGCCGAGTTCGAGTTCTCGTCCCGGTTCAAAATCGTCGAGATGCTCGGCTGGGTCTGGTTGGATGACCTCCTGAGACTCGGGGTACACCAAATCGGCGGAGGCTTCACCGTCCTGCTCGAGGAGAATAATGAGGATGTCGAAGTGGATGAATTCCAACCGGAAGCAGTATGATTGGATGGCGAACTGGATGGTGAGGGAAATAGGAATGGGGTGGTCATCTTCGACGGCGAGACGCAGCTCGAATCGGGCTTGATTTCGTGAAGGGTCCCGAGAAGATAGATTCTGGGTGAATGTGGATGAGTAGTGGTGGTGGTGGTGGTTTTTGAAGAAGCTGGGTATTTCATATCAGACTCCTCATCAGTTCAACAAGTCTGGAAAGTACCTGGAAGATAAACCACTAGCTCGTGAGTCGTGTCTATTAAGCGAGATCGGTAACCCCCCTTTCAAAGGGCTGAGACTCCTGGACTCTGGAGGCGAAAGGGTATGGACTTAACTCCTGCTGATATCAGCAAACGTTTTGTACATAATTACTTACATATTTATCTCTGTAAATCCATACCTACACGCGCCGATAATCCGCCATACACGCTTACATAATTTGCGCATTATATGTATGTACATAGTACATCATTTTCGATCGGTCGGCGAGCCCGTTCTTTCATGTACCCGGCCGGCCAGTCGGGCACTAGTTCCTGGCCTTCATGACTTCTGCCGCCGCGGAACTTCGGAAGGAATTATTTCCATTGTGCGAAGTTCGCGGTAAGGATGGGTAAACATTTCGTTATCTGATTCTCTTTCTTTCCTCCCGCTTCAAGTGATAAATGTATCGGCAACTTCCCTTTCTTTTCAATTTCTGATGAGAATATTCTAATCTGAAAGAATCTTCAAAGAGTATCTGGATTAGACAAAGTGCGCTTCAGTTATTATGAAGATCGTTGCTTTCTTGTTTGTTTGAAAGAAGCTCTCCAAAGTTAGCATCAGAAGAAAGAATTGTTGATACATTCAAATCAATGATTGGTTTCATGAAAAACTCGGCGATTGTAATATAGGGGCATTTTACGCGCATTTCGAAATCGTCAATTCCTGATTTTTGAGATTTCAGCTTAAGATTGTTCTAACAGTTGCGCAATCAGGAAAACTGCGCAAGGTGACCGTGTAAGTGCGAACGGGCGATTCTTTGCCCTGCATCCTTGCCGGAGGAGGTAGGAAAGAAGAAAAGGAAGGAAGCTCAGGCACAGGGACCGGCCAACTTACGAAAGCTTTAGAGCGTGTCTCTGATCAGGGCGAAGGATGACCGGGGGCTTATAAAGGCATTGCCGATGGAAAATAGCTACGCGCAGGCCAAAAATTGCTCGATGAATTAATTTGCGAACATGAACAACGAATTCACAAAAGTCATCATCGTTCGTGCTGTACAAACAATCTCAGTACTGAGAGAGACGCGTCGGGCGATCGCATTGACTGCCAGCAATACCCCGCAGGCAATTTTGACTGCTCAATGAACTGGCCGAAATCACATCTTGATTCTCAAACACTAGGGGCGATGGAAACAAAATCATGTATGAAAAAAACAGCAACGCAATGGGCAATCCCTAAGAGCTAAATTGACTTGAAAGGAGGCATTATGTGGATTGTGCAACGCAAATGAGGACACTGATGGTTGAATTTTAAAGAGAAACAGGCATCGCTGGGGAATCACATATACTATTTAACTGCTCGGTGGGGGGACAGGCCAAGAAAAGCATTCTATGTACGGGGTGCTAAATGACTAACTTGGCTGAGCTTTTTTTATTGATGCAGCAAGCGGAGAAGCAAAACAACTAGCAAGATGAGACTGTGAGATGCACCGAAGCTTCGTCCGCGGGGATATCGTCCTGTGCGCTGCATGATGATAAGGAGCAGTACGTGAGAGATGATTACAAGCATTCGCAACGAAGAGGGAAAGACCTACAGTACGAGTCAAAATCCTTGATCACGGAGCCTCAAGGCAGCCTCTAGCAGCCTGTATTCGGTATAACTACAAGTGCTCCCTGGCCATTGATGTTACATTGACACCAATGGCCGCGGACATTGCATGATACGGCTAGAGCCTTGCAAGGAGAGGCAATTGCGAGGAGCACGAGAAGAAGCGCCATGTGGATACTGCTGAATAGACCCCTCATCGTGAATTCGTTTGGGTTGGTGTGGAAGTTAGAGTTGCAGGTTGTTTCTGTGCGTCAATGTTTCTGGTGGATGGGTGAAAATACAGAGCCAAGATGGCCGTATTTATGGGCTTTCATGAGTCCTGCTCACTTGGAATGGTGTTGTCGCTTCTTGATACGGGTTTGAACCATTGCAATTTACTCACTCATCTTATGAAATTAGACCTATATCTCTCAAGTTTTCACAGAATTTATTTATGCAGGATGTCGCGGTTCGAATGGACATTTATACTTTCAAGTTCTGTCCATATGATGAAATTCAGAATTTATGAATAGGATGTCGCGATGAAAATGAAATTTTACTTTTGAGTTGTGCCCATCTGACGAGCTTAACAAAGCCTCTCGATCGGAGGGTCCCGAAGGGACCCCGCGTCCCGAAGGGACGCTCTCCGAAGGAGAGGCTTACATGATAAATCGACCTCGCGGCCTGAGGTCATAAGGTTTAAGGCTGAAATTTCACACTTTTAAACTTCAAAGTGATTTGCCTCCAAAACCTCAATTCCTTCTAAGGAAATGAGGTTACCGGAGGTGAGCCTTGCATCTTGGCTTTTGTTTAAAAAAAAATTGATCTTTTAGCATCAAAAATGAGCCTCCTCCGATCTGTTTGAAGGAGGACATGCTTTGGGAGTTAACTCTTGGCAAATAGTAATAAATGCCAATTTTTTCCTCTGGTTCAGATAGTCGGATCGTGCTCGCATGACCGGATCGGAATTTAGAAAACTTGTTATGTCGTAGTTGACAGGTTCTTTGACAGCATGAATGCGAGTGAGAGTGAGACTCCGAGGCTCAATGACATGGTTGTCATGAGGGCGTGAGACCGGACATTGGAGGGGAAATATCCGGTCATGGTCCAATCAGATTTTGTATTTTTCATTTTTGATCGAGCATAATATCTTTGGCTTGAGGAGGAGTGGTAGGAAAGTAAAGACATGGAAAAAATGAGAAAAATCATGCGAGTCTATGTCCCGCTCGGCTTCCCTAACAACAGTCATCTTGTGGGGGAAATGAGGTGTTTTGTGATTTATCCGGCCATTTGGCTGGATGCCCTCAGCCCAGATGTGCGACATTATGTGCAAGTCCCTCCCTGACGGGAGGTGGCCCTTCGGGCCCAGGGAGGGACTTGTGTTAAGTTCGCCCATCTGATGAAATTACCAAGATCGCGTTTTAAATCAAATCCTACTTTTGAGTTTTGCGGTTGCCCATCTGGTGAAATTGCTGTTCACAGAATAGGTTATCGACCTTCAGTTCAGCACACCTTTGGCCGGTCCTGTTATACTGTGAATCCTAATATTCGAGTAGAAGACAGAAAACTCCCCCAAGGGGATATAAATTTCTTAAGAGCCCAGTATTTATAGAAAAAACCTATGTACATACTTGGGTTGGTGAGAAACCAAAACCCATAAATCCATAGACTATACATATAAATAGGGTGAGAAATCTAACAAAATCTGACATGGGAATTCATGTCATAACACTCCCCCCCCCTCACCAACCCCTCTAAAGAGAAACAGAAGGAACGAAGTGCAAGAGGTGAAAGAAAAAGAAAATAAAGTTATATAAAAAATAAGAAAAAAAATCAAGTTTTGAGTTAGGAAAAAGTAAACCACAGAAGGGTGGTCGATAGCGTTGTGTGAGGACTGGGATTGTTGGAAAACACCGAGTTATACCGCAGAAGGGCGGTCGAGAAGCAAATAGTGTTGTGTGAAGACAGTTCCGACGTATACCGCAGAAAGATGGTCGAGCAAAGGGTCGATAGTGTCGTATGAGGACTGAGCCCGTTGACGGAAAGGCGGTTGAGGAGGGAATCGTGCCGTATGAGGATAATGTTGGCGTATACCGCAGAAGGGTGGTCGGTTTGTTGGGAGGCCAGCTTAATGCCGGATGGAGACATGGCCGATCGAAGAGTGTTAAATTGTACTGCAGAAGGGCGGCTGAGAAGCCAATTTTGCGTCGGATGAAGACATGGCTATAGCCTTGCTAGGACCGTTGATAGCCTTGCTAGGGCCAATGATAGCAAAAATATTATCGATTGAACCGCCAGAATAATGTCGAGGGAAATCGAGGTTGAGTCGAGATTCCAAGAAGAAGTCGGATGAGGACCATGATTCGGCTGGGTTGATGATAAAACCAAAAAAGAATTCAACACCGCAAACTTGAAGCAGGAAGGTGTGACTAGGGGAAACTAAATGGTTCAAATCCACTGGGAGCTTGTGGATGGGGAGAGTCAAGTAACAAGCGAGAATAGGAGCTACCGCTGGTAACAGCGCGGGCTCATAACCTGTTATACTGTGAATCCTAATATTCGAGTAGAAGACAGAAAACTCCCCCAAGGGGATATAAATTTCTTAAGAGCCCAGTATTTATAGAAAAAACCTATGTACATACTTGGGTTGGTGAGAAACCAAAACCCATAAATCCATAGACTATACATATAAATAGGGTGAGAAATCTAACAAAATCTGACATGGGAATTCATGTCATAACAGGTCCAACACTCAGACAAACTTTGCCACTACGGCCACCCACTCACACCCTACTACATTCAAACGCTCAAACGTTTACGTGTCATCGATTTGAATTAGATAACAAGAGTCGAGGTGTTTTCCTTTGGAACTGAAGCGGCCCCGGCTGCGGCAAGAGTTATTGGAGGACTTCCCATCACCATTTATAATTTTGTATACCAAAAATTAAGATCTAGGGGGCGTAAATCAGATTCTGGGAGGGTTGTAAACCATGACGGGAAGTCATCCATTGGATGCCTTCCCGTCGCGGTTTACAACCCTCCCAGAATTGAATTTACACCCCCTAACTCTTAATTTTGGGTATAAAAAATTGTTTTTTTGCAAGCCTGGTGATGATAGCTCTCACGTGAGCTGGTTGGAATCATGATTTGGGTGTTAATTTAAGACTGGAGAGGGCTTAAAAAGCACTCTAAATGGTGACGGGAAGTCCTCCATTATTTGTATAACTTGGAGTGAGCCTCTTGAAAGGCATGAAAAGTGTTGGAAGCACTGATGACAGGCGCTAACTTGCTTCAAGCTTGTGGAGCAAGCTCCCTCTAGATGTAGGAGGGACTTTTTTTTCAAAAAAAGTGTTATTGATTTCACATGTCACACTATAATCTAATGAAACCTATTACAAGCCTGTTAAATCTATCACTATCTGAACTAGTTATCTAATATCAAATAACCCCACAGGTCTAACCAAACTTTTCTGCAATTAACTGCTATATGTTGACAAGTAAATATTCTTGCAAAATTGGATGATAGAGGGATAAAGAAAGAAATAAAAGAAAAAAGTTGGATAAAATTCTTAAATTGTAATGAAATATTTGATGGGTCAAGATCAAGTCACTTTTGAAAGAATTCAAGCAACTAGAATTTGCATTTTCATTAGAAATAGTTCAAATGTGAATAGTAGATAACATGTTTAGAGTATTTATGTACCTAGAAGCAAGCGAGACTTTGCAATCTTTTGAGCGGAGTTTTGTTTTGTAAGAAAGAGTAGAGGCGAGGATATTGTTAAGAGAAATGAATGAGAAAAAACGTTCTGAGTGAAAACGAGATTGATTTCTCTATTAGTTCTCGATTTTGCTAATTTATGGCTGTTAAGAGTGGCTGATCTCACTTTGGAGTCTAGGATCGAGTCTGTCTCCTTTTTGCTTAAAGTTGTTGTTGAATAGTATAGCGGTCTTCTATTCATCACATGATTCTTGATTAGTCTCAACTTGTTTTCTTGTTCTGTGAAAAGCAAGGTTTCTCTTACCTTCTTTTCTTCTGAGGTATTGGTTTGTGTTCTGAGTCTTAGTGGCTTCGTTTGCTGCTGTCTTGTCTAGAGAATCTACCTTATATTAGTAATTGGTCTAACAGTACGTTTCTCTACCTTCAGTGCTTACCGATAGGTTTGCTTTGAGGGCTCTTGGTGGACAAGGTTGCTGCGATGGGGGATGATAGCCGATAGAGCAAGCTGCTATTTAAGGTGTACAAGAGTCAGCTTCTGGACTTGTTTGCGCGTCATCTTATCTTAGGCTTAGTTTACTGCGATCTTACCTCCTGTTTGAATAGGTGGAGTCGTCAGGTTCTGCCGCGTTGGCGGATGGATTATAATCTGTAGAATCCATCTTGGTTAGCGTTTCTGTTCTCCTAGATGGTTCATTGCATGCTTTCGTGACGGTTGCTTACCAATCACAGCTGCATGCTCTGTCTGTTGAGTTCTAGCCCTTTTTAGGGTCTGGTCTCTATGCACTGGGTTTGAATTCCAACAACTTTTGTATGTTTGTCAACTTCATTCTTCATTATTGGGCATGAGATAATGAAGGGAGAGTGATTGTATTTGATGTGGGTAAAACTTGTGAATTTTTTCTTAGATTGGTCTACTTTTATGCATTGGAAGCAAGCACCGCTTGGGTTTTCAATGTTGCAGTCTTTGGAATTATGTTTACCTCCACATCTGGCACAAAACGGAGGTGTCTTACAGAAGTAAGCTGGGCACCCAAATTCTAGACAGTTAAAACACTGGGGAGGGCCGGGAGTGTATTTTGCAGCTTTGAGTGGAATGCCATCAATGATTAGGCAAACTCATTTGATGTCCCTTGCAAGTTGTTTATCTTTCACATCTATTATTAGAGATGGGCGGGGATAATCCGTTGCGGATATCCGCCAGGGCCAGCGGATACCCGCCAGGGCCAGCGGATACCCGCCAGGGGATGCGGATGTCCTTTCCCCCCCCCCCCCCCCCAAATCCCGGCGGATATCCGGGTATCCCCTGGGATACCCAAGACCAATGGCCGGCTGGAAGGGTTTCCTTCCAGCCGGCAAGGTCCTTCCAGTCGGCAAGGGATGTACCTCGTCGACTGGAAGGGTTGCCTTCCAGCCGACGAGACACGTACCTTGCCGACTGGAAGGTGTTTCTTCCAGGGGAGGAGGTACTTGCAGCTCGCCGGCTGGAAGGCAACCCTTCCAGTTGACGAGGTACGTGTATCTTGGTGACTGGAAGGAAACCCTTCCAGTTAACGAGGTTCATGTACCTCGCCGGCTGGAAGGCAACCTTTCCAGCCGGCGAGGATGTGCCTCGCCGGCCATTTAGAGGGCGGGTATCCAAGGATATCCGCTCGGATACCCGCTAAGGCGGGGGGATATCCGCCAGGGGATGCGGATGTGGGTGCGGATGCCACTTTCCCCGGAAAAAGCAACCGGATATCCGCATCCGCGCGGATATCTGGATGCAAAGTGCCCATCTCTATCTATTATCAGAGTACCATGTCTCTTTCTGTTCTTTTGCGGTTGTCCAAGCCATCAAGCTTTTTCTATCATGTCAGACACTGAGACACTAGCCCAGGTGTCTACAATAGAATGTAACCCCCTTGGGTTACATAACAATTATTATTATATGTAATCTTTAAGTTAATAATTATAAAATAGTGTTATCCCTTTTTACATGTATTTTTTATGTTAATAATTATTCTGTAAATTAATAGAGATTCACCTCTTTATTAATTTACCTCTTTCATGAAAATTATAATCAAGTTGAAAAGGATAATTATCTCCTGGGTGTATCCAAGAGATGATTATCCAATTTACCTCTCTTGTGTGTATGATTATTATGTTTATCTCTCTTATGGTATTTTCTGAAATAAAGGATATTCAAAACATGTACATTTATCATGCTCTGAATATCCTGACACTTTCCCCCAAGGAAAAGTGTAACAATAAGGGGACTGCACCGGTCCCAGCAGCAGATTGACCCCTGTTCTGTAATATTTAAGAGGATGCCTCTCCCCCTGAGATTCATCCCCCAGACAATATTACCATACCAACCCAACTACCTTACTAAAACATATACTTAGTGAGTGGGGTTTTTTAGTAATATATTATCTACAAAACTTGTTGTACCTTTCTCTTTATCTTTTTAATAGTCCTCATAAGTTACTTTATTAACTTATAAGACTAGTACAAACTTTATCCCTCTTACTCTCTTAAGCACAGGCACAGTGAAGCTCATTCCACTGTTGTCCCTTATTATTGTAAGGAGCTAGCCCCTCCACTGTACTAGTGTTGAGGAGAGGCTTAATTCCACTGGCCCTTTTGGCTAAAGTGTGACCCAAAACCCATCAACTCTAGGTCACATAAGAGACCAGAGCTGACATATCATGTTGTATGGGATGTCATTCTGAGTGCAGAGTGTTTCTATGTGACTATTGTTCTTTGTATCAAATTTGATTGGGTGTGAGCCTGCTACTATTCAGAGACAACCTGACCACAGCATATTATATATTTAGAGACATTATTACACATACTACCCCCATAGCATATGTAATTAATGTCTATTTTATATGTACATAAGATAGAGACATTATTACTCACTACCTTTATTTTTACTAGTCTCAAAAGAAAACACAAAAATGAACCAAAAACATTTATAAATAAACATTTTTAACATAAATCTACAAATAGCTTCTGGGCGTTGATAAACACACTCCCTCCCCCTCCCCGCCCGCCCACACCCCCACCCCTCCAAAAGGGGTGTGTGATCGGACCCGCCCCTCCTGGAGGGGCGGGTTTGATTGTACACCCCTTGGAAGTCTGTTTTCCCAAGGAAACAGGCTTCCGAGGGGCGGGCAGAAGAACCCGCCCCTCCTGGATGGGCGGGTGGGTTTGAACACCAGCCACCCGAGAGGTCATGGCAGGCTGATGTTGTAAGCAAAACACTCTGGACTGTTTTGCTTACGTAAGCGCGCCAATGACTCAAAGCTGACGTTCAAGACAAGTGCGAGCGGGCAACGACTATTCATTGATTTGGAAGGGAACGGGGTGATGCAAGGCTGGGAGGAGATCATGGGCCAGACGGCCAAGCGGCTCTGCGAGCCCTTCATAGTGGGCCGGAACGACAAGACATCCAAACTCAGCATCCTCAACGTTGGCTTCGGCCTCGGCATCATTGACAGCTTGTTCCAGTAGTATCACCCCGCTCGACATGTGATCATCAAACCCCATCCCGATGTCTTGCAGTTCATCACCAACCAAGGTTGGCCCAACAAACCCCGTGTCCATATCTATCCCGGCCGCTGGCAAGACTTCCTTGTCGACGTTCAGGAAAGCAAAATTCAGGCTAACTTCAACGTCATCTATTGGGATACGTTTTCAGAAGGCTATAGATCATTGAAGGGCTTTTTTGATAACGTTTCCAACCGCTTGTCCGGCTCAGAGGCCCGATTTTCCTGGTTCCATGGTCCGTCATTTATCCTTCCCCCCCTCCATCAATTTCCTCCGTGTACAAGAGTCCATTCCACTCACTCCATTGTTGCTTGCCTCATTTCTTTTTAATTACTTCAGGTCTCGGAGCCACTTCGCGTATGTTGTATGATATTTACACGGAGATGGAAGAGATGGAGATGAGGGAAGCTGGTCTCCGAGTGAGCTGGTCCGAAGTCCCCGTGGATGGAGGTGAAGCCTTATGGGAGGGCATCAAGCAACAATACTGGGACATACTAGAGATTGTTTGCCTGTACTTTTTGCAGGTACCTGGTACCTCCTGGGGGGTACCCCTCGCACCCGCCCCGCACCCTCCAGGAGGTGCCAGGTGCGGTACTTGGTACCTATTTTTGTGAAAAATTTAACAGGTACCCCCCCACTTCCCTACTAAAATGACAGTGGCCTTCTACTCCAAGAAGGTACCTTGGCTGCATGGAAACAGGGACTCTAGGATAACAAGAAGTCCAACCAAAAATCAAAAAGGAAGGTGATAGTTTTGGACAACAATGAAGATTCTTCCAATTATTTATAAGTTGTAGATAGTTTAAACTTTACAATAAATTATGAAATATGAAGAAATGAAAAAAGTGACTTGGGAATGATGTTTTACAATAAATATGAAAAAAATGTAGAAAAGTAAGATCCTTCCAATTAGATGTAGACATATTACAACAGATATGAAAAAATGCCAAAAAAGCGACTTGTGAGTGATATTTTACAATAAATATGAAACAATAATAATAATAAAGTGACTTGGGACTCTGGGAGTGAAACTAGGTGAAAAAGAGAGGTGAGGTACCTGAGGTACCTGCAACAGGTACCTCGGGTACCCCCCATGAGGTGTCTGGTGCGGTACATGGTATCTATTTTATTGAAAAAATGAACAGGTACCTAGGTATAAACAGGTACCTAGGTCCGAACAAACAATCTCTAGGACATACCGTCACCTTATCCACTCCACATATGCACCTATGATGTTTGAATAACAGTCCAGAAAAATACGCGACAATTTGCTCCTTTTTATCAACAATGCGGGATTTGCTTTTTTTTATAATCCATCAAGATAATCTCCCTCCCGCCCATCTCTGAGGGGCATGCTATGCCACCCGCCCCTCCAGGAGGGGCGGGTTCTTCTGCCCGCCCCTCGGAAGCCGGTTTCCTTGGGAAAACAGACTTCCGAGGGGCGTGTGATCGAACCCGCCCCTCCAAAAGGGAGGGGCGGGGGCGTGAGCGGGTGGGGAGGGGGAGGGAGTGTATTTATCAACGCCCATAACTTCTGAACCTTAAGCAAAAGTTAGAATATTATTTCAGATTCTTAATTTTCATGCAAAATAACCTAGGGTACCTCACCAGAAGTACCCCTGAATTATTACTCCTTCATGTACTTCTGTGTACTCTGAGTGACACTTGCTCATTTTGCTAGAAACCCTCCCAGTTACATCATACTACATGTTGTGACAGGTCTACATATGTAATTAAGTTTCATGCAGTTCGGGAAAAATCCAAACATAAGGTTGACATCATTGAAACCTTAACTACATTGTCACAACAACTGTAACTGGCTGGTCAAAAGCCATTTGTGGCCCTTTTTGGCCCAATTTGGCTAACTACGCCTTGTTAAGACCAGCCCACTGGTCATTAAAAGGGTCTCAGTGACCAAACCATGGCTGCAGGTTCGTCACAGCATCCCCTAGTGTGTGTTAAAAGCCTCACTTCAGCCCTCTGACACCTGTAACCAAGGACTACAGGTGTCTAGGCAGTGCTACAGGTCACCAATGCCTAGTAGGAGGCTTGCACAAGCCAAACAGAGTTCTGAGTTCGCCTCCAAGGGCCCAGAATGAGTATATAAGGAGCCCTTCTTGCCCCCAAAATCTGATTCCCCATCTTCATCATCACTTACCAGCAATAACCACCTCCAACAACCAGTTTTCACCTGTTTTTTGGCCCAGTTCCTGCTGTTTTTCATCCTGAATTTCAACCAACCAACCATCAACTGTTACCCAGCACTCTCTTACCACCTGTTACCCAGTTTTCTGAGCGCTTCCAGACCAGTTTTCACCCACCTGAAGTCCCCCTTGGCTTGGGAATAGTACAAGTAGGGAATATTTCCTTGATACTTCAGTTGTAGCAACGGTGGGCCGCTACACTAACCGTAGCGGTTAGTGTAGCGTAACACAGCAGAATTGCTGTTAGCAATTAACGTAGTGTAGCGGAATTCCGCCACAACACCGCTAACGCTACGCGTGTGGGCCGCAAAAAAGGGCCCACTACGCTGCGCTACAGCGGTTTTTAGCGGTTTTTAGCGGTTTTTGGCCGCTTTTTCCACTAAAAGCGCTGTAGCGCAGCGTAGCGTAGCAAAAAACTGCTAACACTACGGTTTTTGGATGAAAAAAAGCACCGCTACACTACGCTTTTTGGGCCAAAAGCGTAGTGTAGCGTAGCGGCCCACCACTGGTTGTAGGCATTGTCTGGGCATACTCCTTCTACACAAAGGACCAGATCATCAGGTACATAAAAAATACCCCTGTTTTTAACAGGTCCTGATTCATTGGAGGGCACCATAAAAACCCCTGTAACTCAGGCCCCTCCCTTTATAAACACTTAACAGTTTTTATTTCCTCTTTTCTTAATATTAAAAACTCCCCTTTCCAAGTGTTACCCACACTTGTACATACCATTTTCTTAGTTTGCACCTGGTGTGGCTAAAAGAGACCAGCTCTTGGCATCACTCAGGCTGAAATTGGGACTAGAGATGTATTGAATTTCAGGTTAAATTACTAAACAACCAAAACCAAACTGAAAGAGCAACAGGATCAGTTAGAATGAAAAACAACAAAGAAATAAGAGAAAGCAAGAAACACATGAGTCCAGACTGAAAGAAAAGAGTTTGAGGCATACCACTAAGCAGATGGTAATGTTAAGAGTTGAGGACTTTTTTATAGAATGGATATGGAGAAGCGGTAGAGTCTGAGCAAGCTAGAGATGAAGAAAAACAGACGGGCCAATGGAGGAAAGAATTCAGCGAAATCATATCAAACACGGAAAGAGAAAGAGAGAGAGAAATAAGAGAAAGTATAAGAGAAGAAACAACAAACAGCAAGAAAGAAAGGGCAAAGAAGCTATAGGTTTTCAGGGACCTAGACAAGATATAAGCTGAACAGGATCTGGAAAGGAAAAAAGGAATGAGATGCAGAAAGGAGATGTGGATGAGCTGTGTGAATGTTATTGGTTGATTCAGAGCCAGTTGGAGACTTTACAGGTGTTCGGATATTGTTGACGAGTAGTGCGGCGGGATTTTTCCTAAGGAGCCGGAAGCCTTGAAGCGAGAAGTCTTGAAGCGAGAGCGGAGCGAGAGAACCAATGAGTTGATGGTTAAAGAACTAGGTGAAGCGAGGCGGTTTCCGATGATGACTTGGTGGATCAACCCTAACCGGTTGTTGTGAGGATTTGCGAGTCTCACATCCAGACACGGTCTGCGGAGTTGTCACCTTTCACAGGAAAAACTCAACACCCCTCCATGTTTGATGATGATTGAGCTGATAAACACTTGTCTTGCAGTTTCTTGACTGAGGCCTGCGGCGCCGCTTTTGTTAATGAGTCGGCAAGCATTTCAGACGAGGGGATCAGATTTACTTCTATTTCTTTGTTCTTGTACTTTTCCCTCAGATTCTTGATCTTGATGTCCAGATGTTTAGTTTTTGAGTTCGAACCAAAATTCTTCAATTTTTCCAGAAGTCCCTTGTTATCAATATTGAACAGAGTCGGAGCCAATTCTGTCCTCCACAGCTCTTCAACCAAGAACTTGAGCCACTGATTCTCCTGCTCCCCGTCCGACAGCGCATTCATTTCGGACTCAGTAGAAGACATCGTGATGTTCTTTTGTCGTTTGCTGTTCCAGAGGACTGGACAGGATTTCCAAAAAGCCAGAGATCCGCTTTGCGAGATTCGAGTTTCTTGATCTTCAGCCCAAGTGGCATCCGTGTAATAATTCAAGCGATTGATCAAGTCATTTTTATCCGGTTTGAGAATTAAACCCATATTCATAGTTCCCTTGACATACTTCCAGCAATGTATCACCTCCCGCCAGTGTTTGAGTCCAGGGCGTTGATTGAACCGGGAAAGGATGGAGACAGCGGCGGCTAGATCTGGTCGAGTTCGACAAGCCAGGTAATTCAGCATACCTGTATAGGACCGATAATTAATTCCAGTTGCCAGGAAGGCTTGATGGTCTTCGTCAGTTGCAGAGTGTAATTGAACTGCAGGAGTCAGAGGAGTTTTCACTGGTCTGCAATTATTCAATCCTAGCAGATCCAGACCCTTAGAAATGAGAGCCGGCTGAGACAGTTCGATCGAGTCGGATTCAATGGAGAGATTCATGCCTAAGAGCGTATCTGGAGAATGAGCAGTCGAGTTTGGGAAGCGTTCAAGGAATTGTTTTTCAAATTTGTCTATCTGTCCGACTACAATGAGATCGTCCACGTGAAAAAATATGAATGAATTTTTTTCCTTGTGAATGAATAGACAGGCATCCGACATGGATGGTTCAAAACCTATATCCTGAAACCAGGATGTAAGGGTCTCATACCAGTTTTTAGGTGCCTGTTTGAGCCCGTACAGTGATTTTTTTAGCTTGAGATAGGGACTTTTCCTCGATGAACCTTCCGGAGTCTTTATGTAGATTTCCTCTTCTAGCGGAGCGAATAGAAAGGCGCTCTTTACATCGAATTGTTTGATTGGAAGAGCGAGGTCGATAGCCAGCACCAGCAAGGTCAGAAGCGAGGGAAATTTCCCAGTCGGAGCAAAAGTATCAAAGAAGTCCTCCCCATACGTCTGAAGAAACCCTTGAATGCACAATCGAGCTTTCTGTTTCTCAGCAGAGGAGTTGGTGGCCGGCTTGGTCTTGAACACCCATGTTGAGTTGAGATTCTTGAGAGGTTTTTCCCATTGATCATCCCAGACTTCATGTTGTTCAATGTTTTGAAGCTCGCCGTCGATGGCTTCTCTCCATTTTTCAGCGTCGGCACACGTTACAGCCTTCTTGAAGGTTTTAGGGTCCTCGGTAAAGTGAGAGTATTTAACCGGACGGACTTGTAGGGTCCTGTCTCGGAGAATGCGACCGGTTGGAGCTTCGGACTCAGGATTGAGAGCATTGGCTACCACCTCATTGTCGTCGCTGGAGTCATCCTCAGAATCGGAGCTTGATGGATTGGGTTGATCCTCTCCTTCTTCGCTCAGCAGGTCGACCTCCTCTTGTTTGATCTCAATCTTTTCTTCTTCAGTCTCTTTCTCATCGGGCCGAACGAGAGTTTTTTCAGATTTTTCTTCAACAAGAATTTCATCACAGTCGGTAGAGGTC